ATACATATGTCAAGACTTACCCAATTGTATATTTCAAAATATGTGTAGTTTATTATAAGTCAATTATACTTCAGTAAAGCAATACCACTCTCAATATATGCATTTATATCTTCATATAAAGAAATCATCAGAGACCCAAAGAACTTTTGTTTATGTAGATTATATTCATTGACATTTACCATTTTGAAAATTAATACTGAGAAAAAAATTAAATATTTAACTAAGATAACAATAATAAACCAATTTCATGTTAATATAAATAGCATTTTTATGAAAAGTAATTATATTTTCTAAAAATTTAGTGAGTAGAGAGACATTGTTTTTATACTTTTGCAAATCTCCATAATGTCTGGCTTAATGTTAAATAGAAGACAACAGGATCCTCATATCTTCCTGATTCTGCATTTAACCTGTTGTAATATATTGTTTTGACTGAAGCATTATGAAAAAACCTGACCTCACGCAGATCTGTTGTTGGAAGAGGGAGGAGTATTTTAATAGTCTTTTCAGATAATTGTGGGTATTCTTCTTTGATACTAAACTAGGACTTGCCAAGTGGTTAGTTTGACTATGGAATCTGAAGCCGTATCAGTATATTTCTTGTACTTTGTTATAGTAAGATCCTTTGGTCTGCCTCATACTTTATGCATAATTTTATAACATCATGCATTCACTGCTTATTTGGAGAATATTGGTTCTCTGAGCTATGCAGATTTTCTAAACATTGACCCATTTCATTATGTGATATCAAAAAATTACTTCTGTTAATATCATCAGTGATCTCATCAGAAAAGCCTTTAATCACAGAGAAGTTGTCAAGCTCATGATGACTGATAGTTTTTAAATTTTTCTTTGAAAACTCAAAACTGGGCATGGTGGCTTACACTTGTAATCCCAACTCTTTGGGAGGTGGAGGCGAGAGGATTGCCTGAGTCCAGGGGTTCAAGACTAGCCTGGGCAATTTGGGCAAGACCTTGTCTCTACAAGAAAAATTAAAACTAGCCAGATGTAGTGGCACATACCTGTGGTCCAGCTACTTAGAAAGCTGAGGCAGAAGGATCACCTGAGCCCAGCAGGTTGAGGCCGCACTGACCATGAGTGTACCACTGCATTCCAGCCTGGGCAACAGAGTGAGACTTCTACTCAAAAACAAAACAAACTCAAATTTTGTCATTGGCAATTAATACTGTCAGACCTGTTCCTTGAAGAAGTAGGGTTACTTCATTAATTTTGTAGAAAAAGCCAGGCAAATACAGGCAGAGTATCCCTAATCTGAAAATCTGAAACTTTTTGAGCACCAACATGACATTTTGGATTTTTGGATTCAGGATGCTTAACTGTTAAGTATATATATTGCATGTATTCCAAAATCCAAAAATTAAAAAAATCTAAAACACTTCTGGTCCCAAGCATTTTGGATAAAGGATACCTAGCCTATACTTAAATCCAAATAACCACAGATTGTCTGCCAGTCATTTGTTTAAGTCATTTGTTTCATTGTGTTCCATGAAAAAAGTGTCTGTTGATGCTGAGGGCAGTGGGAAGCACACAGCTCACACAAGTGCTTTTCCCTCATCATAACCATCATGCTTTGGTATGCAGCATGAGTACTTTATATGTACTTTTCATTTGTCACATAGAATATTAAAAGACATGTACTCAAGAGTAAAAATTTAATTAAAATTAATAATTCTTACTGATTCAACAGGGACATTCTAAAGTGAAACTGGCATTTTTTTACAGTGAGTTTATGCCACTAGATATTTTAGGACAGTTTGGTGCTACTACCTTGATTTGTACTAAGGTACCAGCTGATTTTCCCACGACTGCTTTTTTGGCATCAGTGTAAAAACACAGAAAAAAGTAAAATATCATCTAAATATTATGAAATAATTTTGACCTTGTGGAACTTCTAAAAGAGTCTCGAGACCCCTGTATCTGTAGATCATACTTTGAGAATCATTGGCACAGTATGTTCCTAATACTAACTAAATATTTTCTGGAAGAAGAAAAGAAAAAACTTTAAATGGGCTTTAAGAGTATTCTCTCACTGATAGAATGCCTACTTTGTGGCAAGCATATTCTCATTTAAGCCATTCTCACAGAAGCCTGTTAAGAAACTTGACTATGTCATTTTTTTTTTTTTAATAGAAAAGGTAACTAAGGGTTGAGATGTAAAACATTCAATGAAGTGAAAAGAAGTGCATTTGAAATCAGGACACTCTGACTTTAAAAGTTCATGCTACCCTCAGCTGTCTCCTATTACTAAATAGAAAAAAAAATTCCTTTCAGCAATCAACAAGAATTTGTTAAGTGCCTGGTTTTTCCTTGAATTACTTTTTAACAAAGCAAATTTACTTGATTTGGGTCATTTTTCTTCATGTCTAATTTAAAAATGATATGTCATCCTTAGCTTTTCAGTCGTTGACAACTGACAAATTGAATTATTGCCTACTGTAGCTATTTATGCTTAAAATGTGGCCTTAAAAATAGAATTGTTAGACAATACCTAATTTTTCAAACAACGGTACTCTTTGGACAGTTTAAATGTATAAACTTTTTGTGTTGATGTAGTATAATATATACTTGTCAAATTAACTCATTTATTTATGAACACACATACTTAAAATAGTGTATCTAAGATATGTTAATTTACAAATACTGCTTTTGGCCACCCTTACATTTCATGAAATAATTTTGTTCAAATTCTATGTGTGTGTTTTTTAAGAAAGCAGGATGTATTGAGAAGACAAAAAGCTCCCACAGTGGGAGGGGACCCAAAGGGATTGCCTATATTTTTAAATGTACATAAGCATCATCATCACCACTAGCATCATATTTTCTAGAGTCCATCTTCTTCACTCTAAGTTGTTTGAGATTCAGCACCATTTTGAATCAGTGTATCATGCCGTCACTGGACATTTTATCCCAAGCCACAAGTACTCATTCACAGAATAATAAAAAGTATTGATTGCTGAGCATCTACTGTGTGCTAGCCATTTTCTTATTGCTTTACCTATATGAGCTCAACCTTATTATCCCTGCCCTGTGGGGAAAGTACTAATCTTATACTATTTATATATCATTAAAACAGTTGTAGTTTTTGTTAGTTATTTTTTCATTTGTCTTATAGGTGTATATTCATCATCTTCCCAAGACACTTTTCTTTTCTTTTTTTTATTGTAAAGATGTGGAGTACAATTCAGGGTTAGGTATACAAATGTTCATTATGCAGATACACTTGTTGATGAGATGTGCCCCTCCCTCCCCTGGCAGTTTCCCTCAACTGCCAATCCCACCCCCTGCTCCCAGGCAGTTTCACACTACTGCCATTCCCTTTCTTATAGTATTATGATAATTGTTCAGAGTCCACTTATGAGTGAGAACATATGGTACTCTGTTCTTTGTTTTTGTGGTAGATCACTGAGTATGATAGACTCTGAATCCATCCAAGTTGCCGCAAAGTCCATATGTTTGTCCTTCTTTATGGCTGCATAATATTTCCTTGTATGTATGTACCACATTTTTGAAATTCAGTCCAGCTTCAGTGGGTAGAATGGCTGGTTCCATGTTTTTGCTATTGTGAATAGAGCTGCAACAAACATGCATGTGGAGGTATCTTTTTGGCAGAATGACTTGAGTTTCTCTGGGTATATTCCCAATAGGGGGATTGCTGGATCATAATGGAAGGTCAGTTTCTAGTTCTTTCAGAAATCGCCACGCTGTCTTCCAAAAAGGATGTACTAGTTTGCATTCCCACCAGCAGTGTAGAAGTGTTCCTTTTTCTCCACATCTTTGCCAGCATCTGCTGTTGTTTGTTTTATTAATGATGGCCATTCTTACTGGAGTTAGGTGGTATCTCAATGTAGTTTTGATGGGCATTTCTCTGATGATTAATGAGGCTGAGCACTTTTTCATGTGTCTGTCAGCTGCCCATATATCTTCTTTTGAGAAGTGTCTCTTCATGTCTTTTGCCCACTTTATAATGGGGTTGTTTGTTTTTTTTCTTTTGACACATTTGAGTTCCTTGTAGGTCCTAGATGTTAAGCCTTTGTCAGATATACAGTTGGTGAATATTTTTCCCATTCTTTGGGCTGCCCAAGACACTTTTAAAAGTATTTTGTAAAGGCTTGTCTACAAGGGCTTTCAATCCTTGCAATTGTTGGATCATAAATAAAAAAAGATATTACTGAGGTTGTGACTGTTAGGTTGCCAGAGCCTTCCAACCATATTCTACCTTTTCCTCTAACTAACCTAAAGAGTGTGCTAACCTCAGAAACACTTCTCCTTACTAGTTGGAATTGACTTCTCTCTAGTGGTGGAATATCAGGACCTCTAGGAATAATCATGAAACTGATAGTTAACATCCTTGTCTTCTTTATTAACCAGTTCTGACAGGTAAGCTCTTTAAGCACCTGAAGCATTGACTGGGATTATTTCAGGCTGTTTTGTCTTTTCCGACAATATATTCAAAAAAAATAAAATATTTTTGAGGAAGCACCTTGTAACAGGAGAACCATTGTGAATACTCAAGTATAAGGCAGCTTCCCCTTTTCTGCGAAATTGTCTTGGGTAAAACCTAAGCTTACATTTTTGTATATAAGTATCTTCTGGAATTTTTTGTTTCTGTGTCTCACCTACAATTTTGTATTTCTGTCCTTACTCATTGAGAGTTAGGAAACTGAGGTATGATTTTCCTAATCAGAAAAGTAGCAGACACACACTGAGGGAAAAAAGTGTATGATTTGCCTTATTTTTGACTCTTTACATTTCCTGGAGCCCCAGTCTATTATCTAATGAAAATTAGTCTTGGCTGCTCTAACATCCCGTGTGTGGAAAAATTTCAAATTTTCAAAGCCTTCCTGTAATGTAATACCCAGGCTACTAGAGTAAGCTTTCTAATCTAACTTCAGAAATAATAGAAAATATAAGAAAAATAAAATCCTCTTGTGAAACATGACCACATTTTGCTTACAAATGATGGATTCTACTTTTTGCAGATGTGTCTTGCTGAATCAGGGCTCTCTTATCCTTGCCATCGACTTACAGTGGGAAGAAGATCTTCACCTACACAGACCCAGGAACAGTCGGAAGAAGTAAGCCTGTTTGCCAGCTTTTCATTGATCAGAAGACCTATCCTCCACCCACCTGCCCACTTCCTATTCCTTTTTTATCTGCCACAGCAATGAATACATAAAGTTAATACAGCATGAATATTCAGTGAATTCTTCAAGACAGAAACTTTTCATGAGAGCTTATTACTAATGTACTTTTTCTTGCTCTGTTAGTTTCATGTTTCAACAGACAATTCAAGTGGATTGGTTGAAATGATTTTTACTCAGAACTGTCAGGTTAACAAAGGAATTTTCTTTACAGCTGACTATGTATGCAGTAGAGTGCATTTATTAGAATTGATTCTGGAGATCCATTAGTTCATTGAGTTGGAGTATCTTCTGTGAGCCAGACATAGTGCTTGATATTAGATAACAAAGATGAACAATGCTATACCTATACCAAAGTGCTCAGAGACAAGGGTATAGTTTACTGTACATAGTTTACTAATAATGATGGCATAATGTAAAAAATGCAGTGATGATATGTACATAAGGGTGCTATGAAAACAAGGAGGAAGGAGAGTCAGATAAGATTGAACATGTTTGTATATATGCTGTTCCTACTTGTGTCTGTGTGGGCCTGGAGAATATCAAAAGGTATCTCAGTTCTGTTCTTGACTACAAATAGCACTTCCACGCTTAACTCTGACATGGTTATAATGGGAAAGGGCATGGACAATACAATTTAGTTACTTAAGAAATATTTTTGAACTCTTACTGTATGCTAGGAAAAAGTCACCATGACTTTAAAAGTATATGCAACATAGGTTATAACTAAATAGCATAGAAAACAGTATTTAAACTAGTGTTTTTGGGATAGAGCATGATTCGAGTATTTAAAAGCTTGGGTATGGTGGCTCACAACTGTAATCCCAGCACTTTGGGAGGCTAAGGTAGGAGAATCACTTGAGCCCAGGATTTAGAGACCAGCCTGGGCAACGTACAAGACTTCATCTCTATTCAAATGGGGGAAAAAAACAAAACAAAACTTGGGCTAGTCCAATAAAACCTTTTCCCACTTACATTCTATACAAAATGTGGTTGCTTTATTTTTATTTAAATTGATTATATATTTCGGACACCCATATGGAAGTTACTGTAGGACTTCTCAGCCATCCTCTGAATATGTATTTAAATCACTTAATTATGTGAAAGAGAAATGGAGGTCGTGCTCAGTGGCTCAGCCTAATCCCAGCACTTTGGGAGGCCGAGCTGAGTAGATTGCCTGAGCCTGCAAGTGCAAGACCAGTCTGGGCAACTTGGTGAGCCCTCGTCTCTCTACAATAAATCAAAAATTTAGCCGGGCAATTGCCTGAGCCTGCAAGTGCAAGACCAGTCTGGGCAACTTGGTGAGCCCTCGTCTCTCTACAATAAATCAAAAATTTAGCCGGGCATGGTTGCATGCGCCTGTAGTTTCGGCTACTTGGAAGGCTGAGGCAGAAGGATCGCCCAAGCCCAGCAGGCCAACACTGGTGTGGCCTTGAGTGTACCACTGCAGCCTGGGCGACGGAGTGAGATTCCAACTAAAAAAAAAAGAGAGAGAGAGAAAGAGAAATGGAGCTGCATAAATGAAGTTCTAGTCTGTGATCAGTCTGTTAAAATAATAATTTTAATCTCTGGTTAAAATAATAATTTTAATAATAATAATCTCTGGTTTTTTTAACATTTTTAAAAAGATCACAGAGAAGGAACCCTTTCCCCCTGCTAAAAATATGACTTACTATATTGTACTGTACTGTATTTGGGCCTCCAAGTATGTTAGTTTCTTTTAAAGAGACCACATGATTTTTTCCCCAGTACTTTATCTCACTAGTCTTTGTGAAAGAAAAATGAGTTTTACTGCTTGGCAGAAATTTCCAGAAATAAATTTAGTAAATTATTTCTATATAATACTTGGTTCTGTTTTTAATGGCTATAGTAAGTCATGCTTCGACTCTTTAATAGATAAATCTACTAACATTAAATTGTGGCCAACTAGCTGCAACTAAAATTCTTGCTTATTCTGTGCCCTGAGAAGTGATAGGTAACTCTTTTGCTTCATTTATTTTCTTTACTCCACCTCACCACCATACATGCTATCATCAGTATAGAGAAGTTCATTCCATACAGTGAGAATCAGTGTTTGTGAGGCCAGTACACTCTTTTAGGTTAATTAGAAAAAAAGATAGACTAGGGTTAGGAGGCTTTTGCCAAACTAAAACAGACAACCTCAGTAACATCCTTTTAATTAATTTATTTTAGCAACAGTGTCTTGCTCTGTTACCCAGACTGGAGTGCAGTGGCATGATTATGACTCACTGCAGCCTCAACCTCCTGGGCTCAAATGATCCTCCCACCTTAGCCTCCCAAGTAGCTGGACTATAGGCATATGCCACTATGCCCGACTTTTTTTTTTTTTTTCCTTGTAAAGATAGTCTTGCTATGTTGCCTAGGCTGGTCTCAAACTTTTGGGCTCAAGCAATCCTTCTGCTTCGGCACCCCAAAACACTGGAATTATAGGCGGGAGCCACTTTGCCTGGTCAGCCTCAATAATATCTTAAACTCTATCTGCAATGAGTCCTTTGTTTTTCATTCTCTCGCTAATTGTAAATACTACCTCCTCCAGGAGGCTGGTGAGAAATGGAAAAGAAAGCCATGACTTGGTTTTTATTGTATCATACAGTTATAAAACTGGAAGGGATTTTTGAGATCATTTGCCCCAACCTAAACTTTAATCCATTCAAGCATTTATATAATGTAGTCTAGGTGCCTATCATTAGGACCATAGTCCCTATGCTAAAAGAGCTCACTGTCTTTTATAAGAATCCCCCCAAAATATACCTGCATTTTGTCTCCAGTTACAGGGTTGTGCACTCATTTGGCAACCAGTTTCATTGTTGAGCTGCTCTTTCTATTCATACATATACTTGTGGCACTCACTGATTCTGCTGCTTTCTTATGGTTCTACCCTTCTCCTACATGATTTTAAATGTAGAATACCCTAAGTACTTCATGTATTTCAAGACAATCACAATTTTGCTATTGACATTCTTAAACCTTGAGTTAGGAAGGATATATTTGATATCAATAGTTGAATTCAAGTTTTAGATTTTAAGGATTGTAGTTATATATTCATTAGCTGGGGAAATTTTTATTCTTATATCATTTGTCTAGCCCTACAAACACATTTTCTTTATGATAATGTAATATTTTCTCTTTCCTTCCAATCTTCCCCTTGCTCCTGAGAAAATATGAAAATATGATTTTCTCATATTTTGGGGTACCTAGCTAGGTACCAGTCTCTTCTCAGCCACGTGGGTAAAACACTATGCCATGGACCCTGGCTTCTTGAGAACTGTTCAATTCTCAGTTGACAGTAGAAAAAGAGGGGTAGCCTAAAATAAGCATTAGTGTGTAGCAGTGGCAAAGGAAACATTTACTGAATGCTCACTCTGTATGGATCAGATGACTGTAAATTGATATTCATATTATACGATTAATGAGAAAATTGAGGGAAGCAGGAGATGCTAGGGGAGCACAGATATGGGCGGGGGTGGTGGTGGTATAACCTTCAAGAATGTTTGCAAGCAAGAGTCTTGTTTGCCTTGCCCACCTCTGTAGCCCTAGCACTTAACATAGTGCCTGGCATATACTAGACTCAGTAAATATTTGTAAATGAATATTTTTTGGAAAGAAAAGGAAGAATGACTAGAGGAGTTGATAGCCAAATTGAATTATGAAGAATGAGTCACAGTCAGCCAAATAAAGAGTCAAGAGAATTATATTCCATTCAGGGGAAGCAGCATGATCTGATGTAGTATATGCAGAGAGATAAGTGCAGGTTAGTGTTAGGGCAGAATAGAGTGAAAGAAAAAGGAAAATACAAGATGAGACAAATGTGACATAGTCTTGAATGTCACATTGAGAAATTGAACTATGGGGAGTAATGAAAGACTTTTAAGTGGTGTATGACTTATTTCTCCCTCCAAGTAGACATTTTAGAGAAGAACATTCTACTTTATGTACAGAAGCTAGATTTAAGGGAAGCAAGACCTGGAGACAGAAAAATCAGGTGTGAGTCTATTATCTTAGTACAGCTAAGAGATAATGAGTTCCTCAGTGTAATATACAACAGACTGAAGGAGGAAAAAAAACCGCATGATCATTCAATTGATGCAGAAAAAATATTTGACAAAATTCAACACCCTTTCATGATAAAAACATTCAACAAACTAGGAATAGAAGAATGGTATGTTAACATAAGCTATATGTGAAATGCCTACACCAAACATTATACTTAATGGTGAAAGACAGAAAGCTTTTTCCCTGAGATCAGGAACCACTTTAACCACTTCTGTTCAAGATAGTACTAGAAGTTCTAGCCAGGGCAATTAAGCAAGAAAAAGAAATATAAGGCATTCAGGGCTGGGCACAGTGGCTCAAGCCTGTAATCCCAGCACTTTGGGAGGCCGAGGCAAAAGGATTGCCTGAGCCCAGGGGTTCAAGACCAACCTCTGCAACATGGCAAGACCTCATCTCTACAATAAAGCAAAAAATTAGCCGGGCATGGTGAAAAATGCCTGTACTTCCAGCTATTTGGAAGGCTGAGGCAGAAGGATCACCTGAGCCCAGCAGGTCGAGGTTGCAGTGGCCATGAGTGTGCCACTGTTCTCCAGTCTAGGTGACAGAGTAAGACTCCAGCACAAAAAAAAAAAGGCATTAAAGTTGTAAAGGAAGAAGTAAAATTATCTCTTCTCAGATGACATGTTTTTATAGGTAGAAAACCCTAAAGATAACACTTTATTAAAAAACTGTTAGAATTAAAAAAATGAATTCAGTAAAGTAGCAAGATACAAAGTCAACATACAAAAATCAGTTGCATTTCAATACACTAACAATTAATGATCTGAACAGAAAATTATGCATATAATTTCATTTATGACAGCATTCAAAAGAATAAAGTACTTAGGAATTAAAGAAATGAAAGATGTATACCATGGAAA